AGAGTGCAAACCAGCAAAATATATATATACATCTGTATTTAAATCTAGCTATATTTATATTTGATGTGGGATTCTCTTTATACCAAAGATAATCAAACATTTTCAGAATCTGGTATGAAAGAAACTCTATGTGCTACTTAAAATTTTGCTGTCATATTAAAAAATATATAAAACAAAGTGAAGAAATATAATTTATAGGCCAATTAAAATATTCGTTCGCAAGCGTGCATTTGTACGCATATCATTTATCTCCCTGAGAGCAAGCGTCCAACACATTGAACTTTGTTTGGTACAAATTTACACCTTAAAAAAGTAATATTTTAAGATTTTTTTTCTGTGCAAAGTCATTTACCTATATAAAAATACGATTTAATCTCGTTGGTTGGAATTTTTAATTACAAAGAAAAGAAAAATTAAGAAATTCGTTCCAAATTACCTTTTAGGCAAGTTTTACTGGTATTTAAATAATTTATAACTGTCTGGACGATTTTGTGGACAAGATATTTTCTGAGTTTACCAACTTCTAAGCTATATATTTTTAAATAAAAACCACAGTTTCTCTGCTGTTATTTAAAATTCTTGTCCCAGGATGTTATGGAAGTATGACTATTGGGAAGATAAAAAAATATATAATATAAAAAATAAAACAAAACTATGAAGTTTTGTTACATTTTTCACAAAGATTTCTAATGGTTCAGCCAGTTTTGTAGTCTACAAAATGAAAAGGAAACGTTTAATTCTAAATTATCGTTGAATACTTAGAATTAAATGCAGCGACTGATTTATAATAAGGCCAAGGGACCCCCCAATTTGTAAGGGATTCCTATATGTTGTGTATATTTCCTTTTTTTGTTATCCCTTAAGAATTCTATGAATAGAAGAGATATGAATAAGCATAAATTAAAATAAATACAAGCTAAAATTTACTAATATATCGTAATTTACTTGTGTGATAAATAATTTAAAAACACTTCATGACTAAACAACGTGTAAATTTAGTTTAAAGTAACGACTATGCCGGGCACTTTGTATTAATTTTTATTTTATATTATTATTCTCATTCGTTTTTCTTTGGCAGTTGGGATATTTTTTTACGCGGAGGTGGCAAAGAAGTTCTTACAATTTAGGTTTTATGTCCGTCGTTGAACAGCCGACCCAATTTTTGGGTTATAAACTATAATTATTTATAGTTATAATTATATAATATATTAGTGGACTATAACTTATAGTCCACTAATGTTCAACTCCGTAGCCTTGTAATTTGAACCCAATCCAGAAGACAAGGGCACTCCTGGATCAGTACCCCCAAAGGTATTGATTTGTTATGGGAACATGGAGGACTTTGCAGCTCTAGTGCTACGTAAATGAACTATATCTATTAAGCAATTTTCGTCATTATTTTTGTTTCTAAAGTAAATAAAAAGCCAATGAGTGAGTATTTAAAAATAATTGCCGCGGTCAAATGTAAAACTCAACAAGAGAAACGAAAAAGTACATTGATCTAATTTTCTATTCGCTCAAAAAAAGAAAAAGAAAACATTGTGAAAGAGAATTTAATGTTTTTGTTGCTTTTTCTTCTTCTATTAACTCTTTTTTTTAATTTGTTTTAGGTATTTAATTTTAGAACATGTGTCAGGCGGCGAACTATTCGATTATTTAGTAAAAAAAGGTCGCCTGACACCTAAAGAAGCCAGAAAGTTCTTCCGACAAATCATTTCCGCCCTGGATTTTTGCCACAGCCACTGCATATGGTAAGTCCAGTAATTTCATTTCATGTCCCAAAAAAGACCCTCAGTCTGAAAAATAATTTTTTTTAAAAATGGAGATAGAAATGTACTGCTTCGTACTTTTAAAAATGGTTACTAAATTCGTCAACAGATGGAGACACAATGTTTCAAAATAACCAGCATTTGCAGCAACGCATGGTGCTATCTGAGGACAAAACTACAAAACGCACGTGCAAATGAGAGTGCAAACCAGCAAACAGAATATTATAGTTTTCTGCTCCATCTGTTGACCAACTCTGAGACTAATTTTGAAAATTAGGGTGGGAAAATATGTTTGGTTTTTGAAGCACATTGTGACAAACTTTTAATTTTAATATCCTTTCGTTTTTCTTTAATTTATTTTTTAAAATCATCGGTGTATTTAAGACAATCAGGCACTATAACAATTTATTTATTTTCCATTAAACTCATATGATTCAGTCTATCAGTTTAATTAACCAAGTTTTAAACAGAAAGACTGTGTGAGCATTTTCCCTACTATTGATTAAAACATGACGAATCAGTTAATTTATATACAGATTTAAATCTGGATGATCCCGGAATTAGATAATTGCGGACATTTAAACAGTGCATATCGATATTTTGCGCTGCATCACAATATTATTTTAATTATACTTTTTTTTTACATTGGTTAGTATTTTAATTGCTTAAGTGAAATTTTAATTATACCTCGCTTTAATATTGTTTTGGATGAGTATTTCTGCCGTATAATCATATACATTACCTTTGCTGTAATTATCACAATATTAAAATAATCAATATTTATTGTTGTGAAAAATCATCACTATATTATCGCGTTCGATAAAATCCTTGATATTATCGCATTACATAATTATCATTAACGGTAAAACTATCAAAATTATCGTATTTGATATTTATCATTTGATATCTTGAAAATTATTATTATTTGATATCTTGAAAATTATCACTATATCATAGTTTTGTAAATTATCGTAAAATCAATATATATTGAGATCAGTATATATCGTGTCATAATATATCGTGAGAATACTCTTTTGTCGTGATGTCCGCTTTGTGCACGATCAATAATTTAGCTAAATCTTTCAAATTTCAGTAAGCAGTGTTTGAGTGGTAGAATCACCATGGTAATCACCATAGTATAATCAACTGTAGTTTTGTAATAGCTATATTTCTCATTCGGTTTAGATTAACTATCAAAAGTGCAAAATAAAAAACGAGACACCTTAAATAATTTTTTTATCTGCTAATTAAACTCTCCGTTAATCAATTTTAACGGTTCGGAGACCTTAATTTCTGAGTTTTAACCTTCAAAAAAATGTGGGTAACCGCAGTTTTGTAAATATGGTTCCACCCATTTATTTAGGTAAGCAGTCGAAAGTTTGAGCCCTCGTTGTTAATTTTAATTTGTTATTTTAAATTTTAATGTATTTCTCCATATTTCTAAAATTAGTTAAGACAATCTAAAATCTTTTTAATATGCTTGTAAAAATCGTTTTTTTTTCAAAAGATAATTCAACGTAAAATTTTTTTTTCTTTATATTTATATAGCATATACTTATTTATATAGCATATACATTTTTTTATAGTATTTGATAATCATCAAAAAATAATTGAACTGTTTAAATGTACTTAAGTTTGATTTGGTAATTTTAACTTACAAAATTTAAAATTTGAAAAGAATCCGTCATGAATAATGGAGATTTAACCACATTTAATATTATGTCATTAAATTATTTATATTGGTTTTTATTACAAGAAAATCCGACCATTAGTACAACTTACTAAAATATTTTTTTATTCCCGTTCATTTTTGTCTTCCAGTTTTTGTTTACTTTATTGTGTGTAGAATACACTAATGTAATTAATTGAAAGAATTTGCAGACTTGGTCGATTATCTCTGGAAGTACTGGACCGATTTTAGTGAAATTTGATATGTGCATTGATGCAATACAAAATAAATAACTATTCAACAATTGTAATACACGTGCATGATCGAGCATAACATTCGTTGGAGTAGGAAGATATGAAACAGCGGTTGCAGAATAAACAAAAACAAAGGGTTAAAAGGGGGTACGATCCCATCTTACAGACATACAGGCCTAGAAGTGTGATTTCGTACTTGAAATATGGCAGTTTATTGTTTCCTGTGGCAATTTCATACCGTCCGTCTCCAACGAATGTTACGCAACGATCATGATTGTGTATTACAATTGTTGAATGGTTATTTGTTTTGTATTGTATCAATCATATCAAATTTCATTAAAATCGGTCCAGTAGTTATAGGGATAATTGACCCAGTCTGCAAATTCTCTTAATTTCTGACAACCAGTGTATTTACATTGTGACATTCGAATTATTTAAATTTATTTAAGTACGTGAGAATTCTATCATTATATTAAAAGGTACCCCGGTCCTAAGGTCTTAAACCCCCCCCCCCTAACACATTATAGCAAATTTATATAATTAAAATTAATATATTACTTTAAATAACCGATTTATGTTATTATCTTTTTTTTAGTCACCGAGATCTGAAACCAGAAAATCTTCTATTAGATGAAAAGAATAATATTCGAATAGCGGATTTCGGGATGGCCTCTTTGCAAATCGAAGGTGCCATGCTGGAAACGTCGTGCGGATCGCCTCATTACGCCTGCCCAGAGGTTATTAGGGTGAGACCTTTCATCCTATTTTATTTCCATTAGCTCGTTCATTTTAACACTAAACATACCAACACTTGATATATACCTATTTTTACCATAGCTAGTCAAATGACCCGAATTTATGTTTCTTGATTGAATGTATGAAATATGGATGCTAGGAAGGAAATAAACAAAAAAAACTTTTATCCTTAAACAAAATTGTATATTACCACTTTTTATGTATTACAAACACAAAAAATAAGAATTTTTAATTCATTGCTTAATGCATTTTTTTACATATGCAGGGTGTTTCCATGGGACATCTTCCGCAGACATATTTTTTACATTTAGAAAAAAGTTTTGATGGTTTTACTGTCGTCCACGGCTTGTCGGCATGTCTTACGTTCAACCAATATATGCTCATTTTCAAAAAACTCATCTTCATCAATTTCCGAAAACTCTTCGCCTATATTTATTTCTTCTAAGAACGTGTACTGTCTTGATTGTTTTCGACATTTTTCTGAGTAAAAAACTAACAGTTAGTTCGAAATGAAGTAAAGCTATCAAAATAAAATATAAGTTACTTACCAAAACATTTAGTTTTTGTCACTATTTCTGACACAAAAACGTCAATCTATAATTTTAGGTACTTGCTGGAAATTTGAATTCAGTTATTCTGATTGAACTAATTGCGCAACAGTCCTTTCAGATACGTGCAACTCATTGAATGCAATACATTGAACACGCATTACATCGTAATTTCTGAGCCTTAAAAAGCATTAAATTGTTCTTCCGGTCAAATGACCGGTTGTGGAAGAGATAGGTATACGACAAGAATTATTCGATACAAACAAAATACAAAAAAAAATAATAATAGAATATTAACTGTATATAATTATTAGAAAAAGTCATGAAGTCAAATGCACAAAAGCAATAAGATGGTAAGCTCATTCTGTAAGCGCATTCTCGATGCAAAAGTTCTCAAACGGTCATTTGACCATTTATGGCATGTTTAGTATTAAAATCAATTCCAGGTAGCAAAATAAGGCTTTTTTTCACTCAGCAAAAACCTTTTAATGTAAACCTAGTAAGGTTTTTATGCGGTTGACGTGTAATCCTTCTAATCTTAAAACGAGATCTGTCACAATCTGCTTTATTCTACTCACATTACCCTCTAATCCAAAACCTTGGAAAGAAACCTTCTATATAAAAACCTTAAATCGAGGTTCTCTTAGCGTGAAAAAATCGTTGAATAGAGCGAGTCTCAAGGTGAAAATAATCTTAAATATATGTCATTGTAAGGTTCATTTTTGCACCATCTTGCATGCTCAGCTAAAATCCACCATGAAATTTTAATGGGCAAAGCAATTTGATCCTATAGCTAGCGCGACATCAGTTAAAACTTCATTATGGACCTAAATGACCATTCACTTAAGTCACAACACTTTTTTAAAAAAAAAGCTTTAAAAATTATGTTCAATCCTTTTAGGATGAAAGGTTTGAAACTGCCATATTTTTGCTCTATTGAAAAAAGGTTTTTAGTATAAACATTTTCGTGAGACTAAAAAGAAAAGTCTACATATTCTGCATTTTAAAGTATTCTGCATATTTGTAGACTGCATCATGGATGCACCGGGTACCTGACAATTACCCCGTACCCGGCCTACCTTAACAAATTTTTATTACCCGAACCCAAAAGACGATTTAACCCCCAGCGTTCGGCTCAGTTTTTATACTTTCCGGTCCTTACTTTTAGTTTAGTATTTTTCGTTTTAAGTAATTTTTTCACCACTAAATATCAAAAATTATAAGTATGATATGAAATGCAACGTTAAAGCATCAATCTACTTGGTTACTATATTAAAAAGTAGGCGTTACAATCTTCCTTCAACGAATTTTTCTATATAATTTGCGAAATTCCCGAACCCTCTAATGACTTTTTACGATTTCAATATCTTGTATAAATACATTATAAATAATTTCAAATAATTTCTTTACCTCTTTATAATCAAAATAATTTCTTTAACTCTTAATTTACGAGATAAAAGGCAATTATAAATAAAATACCTTTAACTCTAATTTTCCATACATAATTTGTAATTAACATTTACTAAATATTAATATTTTCCAAAAACTTTATGATAAGTTTAACAGTTTGAATCACCCAATGATTTGGAGAAAAATTTAACAGTCAGAATTGTCCAAGGATTTGGTGACAAACTTAACAGTGGAAGTCGTTCAAGGATTTGGTGAAAAATTTAACGGTCGGAGTTAGGTGAAAAATTTAACAGTCGGAGTCGTACAAGGATTTAGTGAAAAATTTAACAGTCGGAGTCGTACAAGGATTTGGTGAAAAATTTTAACAGTCGGAATTGTCCAAGGATTCGGTGAAAAATTTAACAATCGGAGTCAAACTCTCAGAAAAAATTGTAATCGAATGTTTCAACTACCGGCTGAACAGCTTTGATCGGAGCAATAATTTTTTGGGCATTAAATATGGCTGTTTTTAATTAATCATTTATTTTGTAAACAGTTACCTGTTGTAGCAATATTTTTTATAGTTGGTTTTTCCAGACTTAATAAAATGCCCATTAGAACCTTTTTTCATTAGGTTTTTGAATTAAAACTTTAAAAAAATGATTTTCGAAGAACTTTCACAAAACTTTCGAAGAAATGAAACACAGAAATGAATATCTTTAAAAAAAACAACTAACTAGTTACTAAAATTTTCGTTAAGAAAAATATCCTTTGAATCTATTTTGAATTAATGTAAATTTAATTCAAAGAAGTTAAATGAAAAGAATGCATTGCTTTAAAAAGTTATAATCTTACTACATTTCTAACAAAATTGGTTTATGCATTGGTAAAATTATTCATGATTTAAAAAGAATAGATAAAATTCAATTTCAATGCAATTATTTTATTCAATCTTAATCAAAGAACTTCAAGATCTCTCTTCAAAGAAACGAATATCACATTCTAAAAATACAATGTAATCAAAATTTTTAAATTTAACAAAATTTTAAAGTAAATTAAATACAGAATAGAATATCTAGTAAAAAAGTATACTATTTGTTAAAAAAAACATGAAACTTAATCTGAAACTATTTGAAGTTAATAAATTTTATTTCAAAAAAATGAAACGATGCTTACAGAAAGTAACAATCCGCCTACTTTTATAATAAAATTATTTTACGCATCGTTTAATATTATTCATGATTTTAAAATAAATAGAATTCAGGTTTCAATACTGTTATTTTAGACATGCATTCAATCGTAATCTAAGAGCTTAAAAATCTGTTTTCTTAAGAGGTTAGCGAAGTATAAATGCATTCTAAATATAGAATCAAATCAAAATCTATATCATTTCAATTGGAGACTGAGATTGAAAAAAGAAATCAATTCCTGCTTGTAAAAATAACAGCACTGCTCATGCATTAAACATCATGAATTCTTCTGCCCCCCACCCCCCAAGTTCGAACAAATGTAACTGCTTTTGTCCTTCAGTATTTATTCCGTTTCTTTCTTTTTCGAATACGAAGACTAATATTGCAGCTGCGTGTTTCCCGCTCTTTTTTTGATTATTTCTTCTTTTGTTACATATGGCACGCAATTTAAGTGTTTATATTTTTATTTAAAGATATTTTTTTTTGTCTTAAAACAAACTTTCTTTATTTTGAGCCCCATGTAGATTTTTTTATTCTTAGGATTCTGTTAACTAGTTTTGGTGTGTTTGTATTATTTGGAATAGTTTGCCATAGACCAATTTTTTGATTTTATAACCGGCACTGAATGGACGGCCCATTTCAATAGTTAGTTTACAACTATTAATGTCATACTGCGTATCCTTCCCAGATAGCAAAATAAAGTTTTATTTAACTCAGTAAAAACCTTTTAATGTAAACCTAAAAAGGTTTAGTATGCGGTTTACGTGTAAACCTTCTAACCTTAAAACGAGATCTGTGACACTCTTTTCTATTCTACACACACTACCCTAATCCAAAACCTTGGAGCACAACCTTCTATATAAAAACCTTAAATCGAGGTTGACTTTCAAGGGTGTCAGGGGTGACAATATAATACCAAACATTCCAGCAATGTAAAAAAAAAAATAATTAATAAATAAATAATATCAAATTTTCACTTCGTTTTTAAATTCTTCCTAGACTTCTAAAGAGATCATATTTATTTTAAATATCTTGAATGGCCTGAAACCTGGTGAGGTTTTCAAAAAACTGTTAAGAGAACTTTTTACTGTATTTTGTTAAGTACGTCTAAGTATATTTAACGTAAATCTTAAATATAAAATAAGTGTGAATTTAATATAAATGTTAATTATTTTTCTAACTTTCAAGGATTACCTTTTTCAAGCCTTATAAAATATACTAGTTTCTCGGGTTTACAATAATCAAAAATTGACATAGATAAAATTTTTTAAATGTTTGATAACAGTTAGGTTTTGCTTTTTAAATGGAAATAAACCCAAGTTTATCATTGAAATAGCGAGGTTTTATTTAATCGAATTAAATCACATTTCTTAGATTTCAAAAATTTCTCGTTCTAAATTAAATCCTTATATTTCAATGAAATTTTTTAAAACTATTAATTTACATGAATTGAAACATTTTAATCAATGATATTAATTATGAATTGTGTGGTGACTAAAAGATTTGTTTCAATGTGAAAATATTTAAAAACATTCAATATCTTCCATGAGCTTAAACAGTGGTTAATATGTAAATTTACGTTTAGAAGTATTATTAAGTTAGAATATAAACTTATAATTTTGTCTAATATACAGTGATCAAAGTATTCTCTTCTTATTTTCTAGTTACTGAAGCTGTTGTGGCACTCTTTGTTTAAAGCCTATCCACCGCGACAAGGTGGTGCCACATCGGATAGGGTCGGTTTTTAATTGTCCTGCCAAAAACCGTATAAAAAGCAGATAGTGATTCGATTTTTAATTGTCCTTCGGCCAAAAATCGTGTAAAATGCAAGCAATATTTTGATTTTTAATTGTCTTAAAGCCA